GCTCGGCCGGTCCGACCACCGGCACGTTGCAGTTCCGTTGCCTCGATCTTATCTGGCCCCACGTGACGGACGAACGGAACTCGCTCTGGCCTTCTTGGGCCCGTCGTGGCATCTGCTACGACCGCCTCTGTTTCCGGCGCCTACTCTTCCTCCGACTACTACTAGTACTGCTACTAATACAGGCCAGACTTCATCAGCGGTCGCTCCATGGTTGATGTAATTTGCTGCCGTGACGAATTCTGTCCAATTCTCGTTCATTTCATTGAGCTTTAATACTTACTGCCTTATAAAATCATTCGCAAATAAATGGCTATGGTGAATAGTTGCAGGTTATCAACTGGGTCATCACAAGAGGAAGCGGGAAATTATTCTTAAAAGGCAACGTCGATATGGCCAAAACATGCGAATATCAAATGGTGAATAAAAATGTGTTAATTGATGCGTTTTAAAGTTTGGACGAACATTATGCATCTTCGGACGGAGAACACTAAATAATTATATAACTCCTGACAAAAAAGTCAGACGTTGAGGCTCCAGATGGTAACTGCCTGGCCCTCTATCCATCCATTCATCAAGTTTCAGACGCTTTCATCGACTAATACACTGTGAATATATTCCTGCAACCAGTATCATCCTTGCTGAGGGATACAGATTGGACGTGAAAATATCTGTCATCTCTCATTTGAAATAAACATGATCGGCGCTGGAACTAAACGGAGCGGCTGAACTTGAGCCGTCTCCGGGACGTTCCGGAAATATGGAATCGGAGAATCAGAGAAATCTCAATATGTCAAGAGTGCCACCAAGCAGACACTTCGTCGGGAGAAGCGACAATGGAGAACCATTTTGTGGAACTAACTGGTCAGTAGGCAAGTATGAAACAAAGCGGAATGAACCAGCTCTACTAATAAACCATCTTTATGAATGGGCTCGACGACTGAGAGACAGGGCAAAACAGAGTTTAAGCACGCATACCGTCGGCGAGCCAGCGATTAAGGAAGACTTGGTAAGCGCCTGCCTGCACTCATCGTCAGCAATCAAGCCTTATCAATGAAGCGGAACTCATAAAACTCATGTATCTCACATAACTGATTTATTGGTAGTCTCGAAACCCTTGCTGTAAACGAATAATAAGAGGAATGAGACACAGATTGCATGGCTAGATTATCAGTCACTATTGGTTTACACTAATAGCCACTGCCAAGAAGTCGCGACCAAAAAGGGTATTGCACACTTTTCGACGTT